AACCTGAAATTGGGTACTTTCTGTATTCAAATGCAAATTTTCCACTTTCAGACCGCTCAAGTTTTTTTATAACGGATAGTTTTTAAAAAAGAAAACGTTTATATGATAGAGAATTTTGTTTTATACAAAATGGTTACAATTTATCCAGTCAAAATGCACTGAATCACCCCTCAAAGCGGTCCTTTTCCGATATACCATCGGTATAAATTTTGCTGATTGCGGCGCTCAGTCACACGTTGACCTATGATTGCGCATGCTCTTTGCTGACTCCGCACCTGCGCTCAGACGCGTTTGTATGGCGAAGTGCGACGACGCCTTGGTGAACAGCAAAAGGGCGTGGCTTAACATATAAATATAATAGCTTTGGGCAGCCCGTGGATGATGAAGTTTTGCCACAGCTCCTAGCAGAACTGCTTTTGCGAACAAGAAGGCTTCAATTGGAATTGAGAACACAACCATGCTAACAGGTGATTGTGATGGGGAGTAGACAATGTTTGTATTAAGCATAGTTTGTATTCATATGATGAAGATACTGAATTCACCAGAAGTGCGCACTTGGTTAATTGCATAGCTGAATGCATATTGCACAATATTCACCTGAATTGAATTACAGTGAACGTTAAACGCCTACTGACTAGCTGAAATGAGTGGATACGGCCAGCTGCATCCAAATTGCAATCAAGGTCAAATGCTTAAGCCAAGATCGTGCTATCATGTTCAAATAGCGACATTTTATAGCGATAGCTCCCGCTGTTGTCGTTGGATAACATTTCAGCGAGCTATTTTTTCGCGAGCAATAGCGTTTCAGCGTACTGCTTTCGCAATCCGCTCATCTACACGTGAATGCATATTTCTTTTATCATTGACGTATGAAGGTACGAATTAACACTGCACTAAATTCGAACCTACCGTACCCTTCCGGACGGTTAAAAGTTGAGTAGTTAAAGAATGATATGCACTTGGGTTAGTATAGAGATGATATGTGTATCAATGTGGGTATCGCTATGGTAATGATAGGAACTGTTATGTATGATGTTTGTTTCGATTTGAGTTCTAAAATTGTGATTATGTGATGGGCATTCTGATTTGTTGAAGTGATGGTTACTGTAGACGGATGTCATTTATTAGGCTGGTTTGCTTACAATTAGTTGTCGACATTCTCTTCTTCGCGATTGATCGACAAATACTGTCAGTGCTGCCGTCATTACTTTTATCGTTACCAGTTATCGTTATTACTGTTATTGTTATTGTCACTGCTATTACCACTATTAACAACGTTATTCTTTTTCAAAATTATTATTATACATTTATTATTGTTATTATTCACCTTTATTATTATTACCTCAAGTATCATTATAATTCCCGTTATTATTTTAATGGTTAAATTTGTTGTTATTATTATTATTGTTTTTATTACAGTGAATGTTACGATTACTGTTATCGTTTTTGTTAAACATTGGAACACGATCCTGTCATAATATGTATGAATTCAAGTTTGTTCGACAATGTCTCTGTGATCCAAAACGCTGCTGTATGTATCTTCAGTCTCATGTAGTGCTCCAACATCGGTGCATATGAAAAAAATCGCATAACGGTCGAAATTAATTCAAATAATCATTTATATCTGCATCATCATCTTTATTTTGCGAATAATTTGTGGCAGTCAAGGATGACTGACAGCGAAGCAACAACATCATCTAGATGCCAGAAGATTTCGGTTTAACTTCGAGAAGCACAGTAATTATGGATTTGGTTCGAGTTGATTGGAAATATTTGTTGTCAGTACAGGTTTATCCACTGATCAGTGCTTTACATTCACCGAGCGGCCCTGAAAAAAAAAACATAAAATGTCACACATAATCGAATTCCATGAATCAGGATTGCTTTTTTGAAATTTCTTGAAATTATCAATTAGTCAAGTGAGAGCAACATTCACTCACTTACCAGACCAATATCCTCCAGTATGACACGTGGCCATAAGTGCGCCACTCGGAATGTAGCCTAGTGCACAAATGAGATGCGCTTTACTGTTTACTTGGCGTTGCTGCAACAGTATCAACATTCACTTATTAGGTAATCATCATTCTTTCGCAAATATTTAGTTAAAAGAGAAAGGTTTCACCATTCTTTCATTAGAAAAATATTTGTGAATTTTCGATAAATAGTAAATTTGTTGTAGTTAATTACATTCTGTTTTTTGTTGAATAAAACCTTTATGCTGGATAATGAAATAAGAATTATCAAAAAATAAATGAGAGTTGAACTTACCTGCAACACTCCATAAAAGATGTATCCATTTTTGACTTTATTCATTAGAGGGCATTTGACTAAAGGAGTCCCAGTTACTGCATTGTTTGATTTGCACGATCCGATTTGTTGATTCCATTCTCCATTATTACCACAAACAATGAAGGACGGTTGTGTGGGTACGGTATCATCATCGCATTTAAGAAATGCAGAAGTACCTGTCAGAATAGCAAGGTTAATGGTGGGTGTGTCATATAAGTGATTATAAATGAACATCAATATGGATAATTTATATGAACGCATCTGTTGAATATGGATAATCAAGAAGACATATGATGTAATTAAACCCCGTTGAGATTTCGAGTTTGCTTCCAATTCGAAATTCGAAATTTGGAATTCGCCATTATGAATTTTGAGAACGAAATTCGAAGTGTGGAAGATTTCTCAGTTCGAAACTATTTTTGCAATTTTATCAATGCTCTTTGGTATAGTTTGTTTAACTGTTCCGAATGGCGATTGTAATGATTCGTGAGAATTTAAATGCTCTCTAGAGGACTGATATTTCTTAGAAGAAGATAATGCCGAAATTGGTAGTATGTAGAAGATTGACCTTCAAATTTCGTATTATTTTTCGCTCACCTAAACAAGATGGAGGTCGGAGGAGGAAGAATGTGATATTGGCGATAAGAGAGAAGCATTAACTCGTACGAGTTGTGATTACTGATTGAATGAAAAAAGCTTGTAAATTCTGAAATGTTTTCTAAAATGTACGAATTTTGTGAAATGAAAGGAAAATTTGATCGAGTGAAAAGCGCTTGTCTCGCATATAATCAAGTTCATTTGCTCGCTAAATACCAAACAATACCACTCACCTTTTACTCTAGGTAGTAGTAAATCATAATAAACTATTCCATTGTTGATTGTTAACTCGGGGCATTTGGCTGGACCAACACATTCACCGGGGGTTGTCTCCCATCTAGAATCGGATCCGCAACGAATATTCGTTGCCCCTTTCGACGAAAATCCCAAACTGCACAGAATCAACGCATGAGTTCCTACGTGTCGCTCCGAAAATATATCATAGACAACCAGTCCTAAAAATTTTGCGAACGTTTAAGATAACTATTAAAATTATCAGTAAAACGTAAAAAATTCTAGCCAATCATAAATGCGAATACAAACCATCCTGAACGCTGATTTTCGGGCAGCCAGGCGATGGAGTTTGTCCATTGATTCCTATAAACAAAGTGATGAATCACTATTGCATGATTTCTCTAAACTTCTAAATACCATCCGTGTAATTTATACGAGACATTGCTTCAAAAATGGACTCAAGTTTTTGAACATCAGTACGCTCAGGTTTGAGTAACAAGGTTGTACTGTCTTATGATCTTCTCGTAAATAGGCCTAAAATGGCCTGAGCTCACAAAAAAGGACACACATTTTTGGAAAGAACTTCTTGATTCGCTTGCATTGCCACAAGTGATTGCCCATTAAAAACGTTGAATGAACGTGAAATATGTATGGTGTGGTACCTGAGAGAAAGGAAACGAAAAGTGTGGATGAAATGAAGAAATGGATGAGTATACTGTGGAAATGATGATGCAGGGAAATCACTGACTTCATGATGTGTGAATGCGATGAAATGCGGATGAAGGCGCATAATTTATACTGATTATTGATACGTGATCTGCCATTGCAACAATAGGTACAATGCCTCCCTGAATTGTTCGTTCGTAAGCGCATTCTCCATTCAAATACGTCGTATTGCATACAATTGCGTTGATCAATATTGAGGACTGTATGCAAATATTGCGTTTGTTATCTTTTTTATTGTTACCTTTATCTTTTATTGTTAAATGCCTTTATTGTTAAACGTTTCGATGCATTCGACTCGATGGATTCAGCAGCTGAATGATCAATAATCATTCTAATCGTTCATTTATGAACCTTGATTAATGCAATAAAAAACTGTAGATTGAAGCTTTGAAGAATTAGTTTGAAATGCTATGTCGTTTAAAGAAGTGCTGTGAACAATCATTTCGAAAATTCAATGTTGTTTCTCATTTTTTATTTCATTTGTTTGTGAATTTTTTCCAAAATTAGACAATTAATGATATTCGGCTCATCTAAATTTCTCAAACGACGATTGTTCTTGAAGCATTTCAGAGAGGATGAACTGATCACATGCATCACTAAAAAAATACAGTAATAACAATAAAATACAGTTCAAAAAATATATTCACGTTTCACTTGCTAAATCAGTGATCATTCGCAAACATAATGAACATCAGATAGTCATTGATCCTCTGTAAACGCTCTCGTCAATGAGAGCTTTGAACAGGTGCAAGTCATCCTTGAAACGATGACTGAAAGTCAACACAGGACACTTTGGATGCGATGAAATAAGATTTATAGCAAATTTAGTATCTGATGAACATTTCTCTTATTCACTGAAACGTGCACATTCAAGCGTTGTCTTCTGTACTTTACATGAGAATAACATGGTATGCAATATTCTGATAAGGTTTCGTTGGAATTACTGGAAAAGATACAGAAGTCTGGACGACGACTTTGTAATTTTTGAATGCATTTCGAGCTACGGAAAAGTTTAACGGTTAGAGTTGGGTGGAAAACCAGTTTTACGTTAATATGGAAAAGCCACCGAGGAAAATCAGCAAAAATCAGTCGTTTACCAACTGTAGTTAGGGATCATTGGTGTCTGTAAAGCCGTGATAAAGGCTTGGTGATGTAAACAGGGAAAACATTTCGTATCACGTTGAATGCTATCGTGTTTATGCGCTGCTTATCCGTTGTATCGTCCCACATTACAGCACAAAGTGATAAATTTATTGACTGCTTTATGTGATTCAATATTAGTGGAAATCAGCAAAACTAAACGGAAGTTTTGAAGCGATTGAAATAAAATTACCGATACGAGGTCAATAGCTGTGCAAAATGCGGAACTGAAGGCATTCTGTTCGGAAACATACATGCGAGATCTAACAGCTGATTAGCTGCTAACTCTCACATTTAACGGTTACCATAGCTCGCTGAAAACCGTCACGGATAAGTTGATTAACACTTATTTAGACACAGTGGCTGAGGTCCTTATTTTTTTGGTTAGTGTAAAAGGAGTATTTTTTGGGCATTTCAAATTCGGAAAGAAGCAATTTTTTGGAATGTCAAATTTTTGAATTCGGAAAGATTCGGAAAATTCGGAAAATTTCAAATTCGGAAAGAAGCAATTTTTTGGAATGTCAAATTTTTGAAAGAAACATGTTCCGGAGATTTCGTTCACATAGATTTTGAAGTAAATTTTTTTGATGCTGTAATTCCAGAAATTCGGAAACAAAAAGATTTTTCAAGAATTTTCAAAGAATTATCTTTGAAATGTCAGGTTCAGGAATTTCATATTAGAATCCCCTTTCCTCGTTCACCTAAACTGCGCAAGATTACTCAATTTCGATTAAAATTACCTTGAACTTCGATGATTACCGAAAAAAATATCCCAACCGAAAATATGGACTGAAATTGACCGAACACCGGCCACACAACATCATTATCCGTAAGTAATAATGTCGTACGGTATACATTAGTTGTACGGTAGTACGGTACATTTTGAGGTTTTATTTACTTGAGAGCGGAGCACAAAGTAAAAGGGCGAGACAGAGCGGACAACTTACAAAAAATATGTGATAAGCGAGCGATTTGTTTTCCTCTCGGTTTGAAAATGTTGCTTGCTCATTATGCGCTAGTTGTTTGTTTTGGTTATGAATAAACGTTAATGTTGAATTTATATTATTGTACTGGTATGTTTTTGTTGAATTTTCAGTGAGGTAACATCAAATGTGGACAAATTGGTGTTAAAGAAGTTTATTGTGGACGCAGAATTATTAATCAGTTGAATTGAAAGAAAAACAAATGTCAGCGAATAATTGCTTGGATGTAGGTGGTGATGCACTTCGCATGGTTGATGTGGATGATATGGTTGAGGTTTTTTGCTTTTCTTTCATTCGTCCTTTCCTTTAATTGTTTTTTTTTGCAACGTACGACTTGTTTCAATTGTTCACATATAGTTGACCTGCTGATATCGTTACTGTACCATGTTTCTACTATTGATGGATACTGCTGACCTGATGTATAGATCTTGGTTGACATTTACTTATTTTTGAGCTGAATGGTCGACTGAAGCACACGACTGGTAACAAGAATTTATGAAATTGGACTTTAATTAGCAAAGAACAATGTGAATTTACTCATCAGGTTTTCAAGCAGAGACGAGCTGTGAGCAGTGGTGAACCATCGCTAGATGGGTCTGTTGATGAAGAACGTGCAGCGTTGAGCGATTCAGATTTACCTGGAGCTGTTCGAGTTCAGGTGTGGGTTGATGTACTTTTTTAACTCAAGAAGTTCCCTGTGAAGAGTTCATCGATCGTATCAATCCAATCACTTACTCGTATTCAAACACGTATTTTGAAAACATTATCGAATATTCATCGAAGAAAGTTGTTGAAAAATTAATCAGCAGTGATTTGCAAACCCTCTCAATTTCCTCACCAGTTACTATGACAACAACTGCTTTATAGTGGCAATTTATAATCAGCAACATTGTTCCTCTCAAATGCTTAGATTCTTTATATGAAATCGGCGTTGTGCAGTATAATTCGTTGGTGATTATAATTGTCTCAAAAATGTGGAGGGTCCAGTAACGATGACAATGAATGATATCTTGCAGACGTTAGCGACACAAGCAAAAGGCCCATCTAGTGATGCATTAGAAGTGGAGTGTCGTGCTGAGTACTCATCTCGTGCAGTCACTTCGAATCTTCCATCAAATTCTGATTGGAATGACATCCTGGGTAGTGGTCAGTTGTTCACTAAGGTAAGTGTCTTTCTTTGATTTTTGTTCTTGACTGCTTAGCAAAGTCATCTTATGGTATGAATTTTATTTTGTGCAGTGACGTGAACAGTTTGATTATGTTGGTTTATACACTCTATTTGCAGGTTATACGGGATGGTAGTGGACCAAAGCCACGTAACGGTCAAGAAGTTACGATCCGTGTCGTAGATCGTAAATTAGGCATTGACTCAATAGAAAAACACACATTTGTTCTTGGTTTCAGTATGGTTATTGATGGTATGTGCTATTGCTGTTGCTGATCTATTGCTGATCCTTCCATTCACTTTACTAGCTTTTGATTTGGAGTATTGATTATAATTAAGCTGTTCATCATCTCTTTTCATGACATCTCATGCATGTGCACGCGAATAATTGTTTGATGAACAACTGTTTGTTAAAGTAAGTGTTTAATGAGGTATCAGAAAGATCATATGAATTTGCTATGTATGTGCGCATTATTCACTCGGATTAGGAAACGGTTCCTGTTGCAATTTTGTCCTAAGGTATCAATAAGAATGCACTAAGAACTTGCTTGCATGTTTGTCACTAGCTTGATTGAAGCATTTAACTGATAAATGAACGTAAGAAAACAACTAATCGAATTACTCAGCTTGGGAATTGGTTGTACAGTTGATGAACGAAGGCGAAGTGGATATGGTAAAAGCAGAATCTCGTTTTGCATATGGCAGCGTTGGTGATCCATTACGGAACATTCCACCCTACCAACAGATGGAGTATTCTGTGGAACTTCTCAAAGTGGGTACTGCTCTCACCTTCTCGGATATGCCAAAAGATGAACTTATCGCGTATATAGTGAAGTTGAAAGAACGTGGAAATTATTACTACACTCGGAAAGAAATCGACAAAGCTGTTTTTGTTTACAAAAGGTGCTTTTGTTTTGTTGTTTGCGTCTTTTTTTCACGTTTTCTCTCTCGTTTCTGCAGTTCATTACAACAGAAATGTATGTATTTTTGTGTTGTAGTTCTTTTATCATCAATCAGTATTCGACAGTATCAGCCTAATCATCGGTTTCTTTTTTACAGATGTATAGATATCATCAATATTCCAGACGACGACGAGATTCTTCGTGGTATTTTCTCTGTTATCTACTCGAATTTAGCTGTTTGTCATGCTAAGGTGAAACATTTGTTGATAATTCAGCAGATGTGTTTCATGACAGTTTTGCTTGGACACTCTCATTGTCCAGTAATGCTGTTTTTAATTGCTATGGTGATATTGTAGTCAATTCCTAAGAGGGATCAAATTTGCAGTTGTGCGATTGGAAAATGACACTGGAGACATCGAACGAAGCGCTCAAATTGAACGCGTCGAATACAAAAGCGCTTTTTCGACGTGCGAATGCATATGCGAATTTGAATCTTGTTGATGAAGCGATTGAAACTCTGAAACTAGCTAGTGCTATTGACCCGGACGATGCGGTCAGTTTATGGATGCTGTCGTTGTTGTTTCTTATCCATCAAACGACTACCGTTCTTTCCAGACGACCGTTTTAAAATACATCTGATCTGTGTTCATTGATCGATTTCCTAATCAAATCTCTACACTTCACTCAGTCTAAAGCATTACATGTCTTATTTATTATACTTGTTTTAAAGTGGTTTTGAATGCAAATTTTGAAGAAGAAAACATTTGTTCATTAATTGCCGTCGTCATTTTACGTTCATTACCCATATCAGCTAGCATAGATGATGTTTGATTCATTCATTCTGATTTGATTGATTCTAACTTCATTTGATTCATTGATAACAGAAATGATCAGTGAGCTAAATATTAATTTCAAATAAGATTTGTGACATAAATAAGCAATACCGATGTTATGCATAGTGTTCATAATTGAGGAGTGAGATATACAAATATTTTGAATGAATTATAATAATGAAAATAATTCAGTTGATTTTGAAAGAATTGCGTCGATTGAAATCGAGACAACGATTGTGTCGTGAACAAGAACGTTCATTATACAAACGTATGCTGATCGGTTCTTCGCCCAACGACGACGATGTTACTCGCAGCGTCGCTGGCGGTGGCATGCGTCGCTTGACTGCCTCTGTTCGATACGCATTACTTGCATTTTTTGTAATGGTGTTTGCCTTATTCATTCACTTCTTCAGAATTTATATGGGCTCATGACTACTCTGTTCATTTATTTATTGATCTATTCTTCTTGTTGTTCCTTTCTGTCTACAGAAGATCGATGCTACTAAATTACTCTAGAGAGTTATTGATTTTGGTGATAACATTGGATCGGTGAATGATGTTCTGATTACATTCTAAGTCAGTCATTCAGAATCGACTTCTTATTTGATTGCTGATCTTGCCAGTTGGCAGCCTTCCTTGCGTTGATTCGCAGATAATCTCCGAGACGATTGTGAAGATTATTCTTTGTCAGTGTGCAAACAAACATTTGGTGTCGTTTTTGATGGTGATTTTTATTGGCTGTTTGGTTGTTCTTGAAGCTGTCAAAATTTCATAAATAAGTAAAAGGGTTTTGTGAAATGGAACAACGCTTTCGGTTAGCGTTAATATATTTTTAATGGAGGAACTGATTCTCCCACGCATCGATTTGTTCGATTAGCGTTATATTTATGGAGAGTTTTCACTTGCTTTGTCTTATCCTCGACGCCCTATTAAATGGCATAACAAGAAATGAAATAAGATAATTGATGGCCAATTTCGGTATTGCCTGAAAGATGGTCATAAAAGTCTCGAATAATTGCTAATAGTGAGTCGTCTTAAAGGTGTTTTTTTTCGATGTGATCGTCTCTACTAATCGGTTATTCGTTTGTTTGGTTAATTCACATGGCGTGTATTATAATTTTTGTTGGTGAATCATGAATTGATCATTAATCATACTCAAGTGTTCAGAGATAATGTAAATAGATGTTGTTGTTTTGATGACCGACTTGGCGTTGCTTTGTTGAAATAATCGACCAACAATGAAATACGTTTAAACAACAAGATGACTCAAAATCGTTTGAAATGTCGGTCGTAGATCGCGATCCTTTTGGGAACATTGCAAACCAAGTTTTATGAACTGCAGGAACCAGTTTGAATGAGGCTCTGTAAAATGAGTCACTGTCAGTGATCATTGGTCAGTGATTGGTTCGCTTTGACTGAATATTTGAGTATAGGGCTGGATCGGGGTCGACACCAGGCTCAAGAGCCTTCCAACACCGTCTTTGATTTATGTCGCTCATATTCCATTGCTTGAGGCATGATTCTTACGGTTTCTTTGTGCTAACTTTGGTCGATGGTGGAATCAAGCTCATATCTCCGAGAATACGGAACGGGTTCAGGAGCTCCCGATCCAACCCTATTTGAGTAGCAGTTATGGGGATGATGACATTATCGGTTACAGTGCCTAATCAAAGTTCATTCAAGTCTGTATGTTCTTCCAAAAAATAAGCAATCTGACGCTGAATAGGTATCGTTACATAAGGAATTTGTTAAACGATTTTGCAAATACCACAAAACTCTCAGTTCGGAGAAGTTTATGAAAAGGAGAAAAACATCTTCGAACGTATATTAACAGATTGGTTATATTAGCCTAATATAAGAGCAACAAATTGGAGAGATGAGTTTAGAATTAGACAAAAACACAAACGATCAGTTGGTGGACAGCGGCGATCGGCGAGTTCATCGATAAGTCTCGTCGAATCGCCATGCACACGAGCTTGTACGTTTGTGACGTAGTCGACGACGCTTTGCGGCTCATGCTTGTTGTCTACGTAAGCTCGCAGACCAGTGGCTATCTCCAGTAGAACAACGCCAAAACTGTACACGTCAAGTTTCGTCGTTAAAATCTTGCTGTAAACCGCACTGCGTTCAAATAAATTAATCATTCAGTGAATCAAAAAGAATATTTGCCACACACTTTTGCGAGCAATAAGAATCACTAAAACATCTCCATTGAAAGTTGAAATAAGTTCTAAATAACTCTGTGATCATTTGAGACGAAGAGTATATTTTTACGATGACATTCATTCGGCAAAATGGAATTAATGAAACAATGCTTTAGCAATCAATGCAACGAATACCTTGTTATAAATTCTGGAGGTAAATAAGCCAGTGTTCCTTTGATATGTGAAGCAATTAAAGGGGTCTTCTCACCAGGACCCGTTTCCACCTAGAATTGTCATTTCAAAATCGACATGAATGCTCGGAAGATTTCCCAGAAATATTACTCCTCAAGAAGGAGTAGATCTTGCCCTGGGAATTTCGTGGTTTTTTGCATAAAAACTGCTCAACAAAGCGATTTCAAATTACCTGACCATCTCTACACAAGCCAAAATCACCCAATTTCGGCTCAAGATGTTTATCCAATAAAATATTCGCCGATTTAACATCGCCATGAATGATCGGTGTGCGTGCAACGGAATGCAAAAAATGTAGACCTCGTGCTGAACCTTCAGCGATATTTCTTCGTTGTGACCATGTTAACGGTGTGGTTCCTTTCTGCAGTTGAACAGTACAATTCGTTACGTTTTGATTGAGTGCCTAACAATTCGGTTGTGCAATAAAAAAGCATGTTATGAAGAGCAATTTACCCGGCAAAGAATTCGATCCTCAAGTGAACCATTCGCCATGAACTGATAGATGAGACACGGTATAGGGCCATCTAGTGAGTATCCATACAACGGTAGAATATTATCGTGTCGATATTTGGCTAATGTTCGTAACTCCTGTAAACTCTGCCGGAGACGTTCTTTGTCATGCTGAAAATAAACATAAAATAGTATTTCTGGAATGAATGATTATGCTGTTAACGTTTCAAACAAATTCCTCCTTCGGTGATGCTTATCAGATGAAAACTTTCTTAAAAACAACCTAAAAAATAACTTTTCGAAGTGATTCACTTATCATTTCATTCATTTTTTAAAGGATGAATCAACGCCCCGTTCAGATATGGCTGTGACTTTTTGGAGAGATTATTGTTGAAAGATAAAAGAAAGAAAAACTTAATTGAGATTGCTTCCTGTAAAGCGAATGGAAATTTTACAAGATAAATGTAAGAATATTAAACAGTATGCTGTGGTATTACCTCAATGCCAGCATCATTCTTCGCTTTAATACATTTCACAGCAACCTAAAATTTCAAATAAGAAAATGGAACCTGCGACAATAGCCCAATCATTAGTTCTCTTTCGTTTATGCTATCATCAGAGAAGCAATCATCAGTGTTTCATAAGCATATTTACTTGTAACGATAGACTGCTTCTCGTTTATACGCGATCAACAAACAAACAACCTGAGTGTGTTTCCAGTTGCCTTTATATACGACTCCATAACCTCCTTTTCCTAGGAAATTTTCAGATGCGAAGTGATCAGTTGCAATCGTAATCTCTTCATAACGTACAAGTGTAGTGTTTTGAAGGCCAATCAGCAGATCGTTTGATTCAGACGTGGCACTGTGAAGTGGAATATGTGTCAGTGCACAATACATATAACTGTTTCGAAAAAACGACTCTTGCATGGAACAGAATTTTGCATTTATTCACTTTTCTCATACAAATCGAAATGTTTCTTTAATTTTTCAAAACAGTAAACAACTGAAAAACTTTTTTCGGTACCAAATGATTTACTTTCTTCATGCTCCTCGGAAAAAAGATTAATGAATTATTCAAGTCAAATTTTAAGTGCTCAGTCTTACCGCATAACAAAGGTGAGCCATGAAAAAGCTAAAGAGAATGAGAAAGATCAAGTAGTGATTACATATAAAACTCGAATACCTGGTAGCTGAGGTAGCACTGGATAAATTTTGCGCTGGCTGCTGTTGTTTTGAAGAAACTGCTGCTACGGCAGAAATAACGTTCGGAGATGAATGTTGATCAGCAGAGAGTCTTGTTGCAGTCGAGAGATGCGCTTGGTTACGCAACGCTTCTGATGACCCTTTCGAGGTCGTAGCTGAGATGAGCGTTCCAGAACGCACGCATTCCACTTCCCAATGGTGATACTTGGAATCGACAAGATGACGAACCGCCTCCATGGCGCGCACAAGTCGGGCTCTTGCCAGCAGATTATAGAGCAGTGTTATTCGATTACCTTTCGAACCCCAAATACTTAGCAGAATCTCAGTGGGACTCTCGGAATCGCGTGCCCGTCGACATGCCTCCACATCATCATTGTTGATATCGGGCATCAGAGCCGCTGATTATATCATATAATAACACATTCTCTTGATAAAGCAGCCCCAAAGTTTCTGGCTTTTGCGACCTAACCTCTTAAGTGACTCAAATTCATCAGAAGACAATATCTATATCACATAATTCTCTGGTCCTTATTCTAAAGATGCGATATAGATAAGATTTTGTGGTAGAATGTAATGAAATATGATACGGCATAATAAAAAGCAAGCAACAACGAAAGATTTTATGTTTACTTCGACTTTATTCAAAAGTTTACGATTAGATTAAGTAAAATTGTGGACGTGAACCACAATTATATATATATCACATAAAAACCAACCAAGCGGTTCCCATGAATTTCCAGGATCGAGTATACTACTCAGTTGTTTTCGAACGCCGAAGGGCATCGCAAAGACGAAATCACAATGAGACGCTGAGCTCGAACATGGCACAGCAGTGCCATCTTTAGAATCCATTAATTTGATTTCATGTTAATATCAAACTATTGTCCAACCATCTTAAAAGTTTGTATTCAACAAAACGATTGATTGATTGATGCACTTTTCAAAAATACTATCAATTCCCCTACTGTTTATAACATAACTAACTGAAGGCGTAATTCATATGAAGACAGATCTTCAACTTGTTCAAATTGCAGAATTTTAGAACTCTTCAAAGGAATCATACCAGTTACTTACTAATCAGTACTAGTAAAATTCTGATTCTCTTTCAGCAAATTTCAATCGAATTAATTCTTTTCGAAGTGTTACTGTTAAATTCTTATTCTTTATGGAAACCATCAATCTATTCTGAATATTTTTCAGTCTTCTGCTGCTGGGCTTCACTTTAATATTACTCTCGTCCCTTCATACCAGTGGTTTTCATGGAGTGGAAAGTCTTTATTGGTTGACGGCTGAGGGTGGGCACTGAACTGACGTGCGTCAGAGAGCAGGGAATTGAGACGGTTGACAGATCACTGTTTACTGATTTTTTTCACAACTTTTGTGTAGTTTTTCAATAACGTTTCAAAACGTTTGTTTTAACATAATGAATTGAATTCCTTTGATGCTATCATTAAATTCTGGGTCACAGACTTCTTGATTAAAGGACCAATTTTCTGATGTGTCATGTAAATTGTTGAAGGGGAAATGGCGATTTGCGATGCAGCCATAGAAGCGCAATAGCACGAGAACAATTGACGTGCAACAAGGCACAGTATGTATTGCACAACAGGCGCAATTCTCGTTTTGACGAAGTTCAATTCAATCAACAAAATCTGTGGCAGTCCAATGGAGATATTTTTGCGATGTATCATATTAAATTTATTCAGCTATTGAGCACACTTCCACAATTGTACTATTTTACTGCTTTCAGCAAATTTATTAAAATTTCTACTTTTCAGCAAGGTGAATGAATACTCTTGCAAATTACAACAATATGCTCATTGATTCTGTTTCAAATGAATGCTAATTGGGTTGATTGTATAGGGCTTCTCCTCGTTGAACCGTTGATTCGAGGAATGCCTTAGAGGTAATCTACAGCGGGTGTGGCAGCATATACGAGTGTATTTCAGCCTCACGCGTTCAAGTGCAGCTTAGGAGCGGATCACGCTCAGTCAGATTCACGCTCACGCTAAAGCTCACAAGGGACTAACTTACAGGCGCAGCTTTCACAACTTGCTTTAATGGAAAGATAAATAGACTGATTGACAGTTGTCCTGAACTTCTCTCGATATTAGGACATAATTTTTAATTTTTGCTTACCAACTTGGAACTTTCATCAATTTTCTTCTCACAAAGTTATTACCCACATCGATTTAATCAAATGCTTATTAATAAACAATACTTTTCGAATTCAAGAGATGTTGCCTGTTCAATATATTGCAAAATTCATGGAAGTGTCTTTGATGGCAGCTGCAGCCAAACACAACAAGACTCTGGTCAGAGTTTATATTAGGGTTAAGAAAAGGGAACGGGAGATCCCTTCGTCCTCTTGGGTGATATTATCTCATTATTAGTAGTAATAGTATTGAGAGAAAGCATCGTTGGAAAAGGCGTAACGGGTATAATACAAGACGGTATTGCATACCGAAAACTGTACATTATGAGATACAAAGAAAAACGATATAAAAAGCTATCATCAATGTAGTTTTATCAACTCATTAATCGAATAACAATGGTTCGTTCACCAAATAATATTAAAATTAAATCGAAGGGCTTCTAAATCACTGAAATATATTCAAAGATGGAATATTGTGACGACGATGAAGTTGATTTGAGGTAATGAATAACGTAAGTTTGAAATGTTGTCATTTTCATTATCATAAGTGATTTTCGTAAGTAGTGGCTTTTTTAATGTGCAGGATCAATTGTCAGTTCACGAACAAAATTTTTTATTGATCAAATAATCTGGAAATAGATTGTCACTTCAAAAACAACAACTTATCGTCACAGTCATCAAAGTGAACATGCCCTGATGATTAATACCATTTAAAAACAATACAACAAAACGACGAATCATTACAATTACGAATCGATATCAACAAGCAAGAAGCACACAGTGATTGCACCGGTCTTTAATTATTAGTAACTGACAAAGACATCCACTGTTGAGCGTATGTTGTTATGCTGGATCGATTAATAAATTAAAACTGATATTTAACAGCAGAATTAAGTAAGCAGCACCTGAAGAAGATACATGCATCATATTGAGGTGATAAGGGATCATTCATGGATGCAACGTGCCTACATCTTCTAATCTGACCGATAATGCAACGGACACATCATCAATCGCAATAAATGAATACACACAGTACCATCATACAACCGACATGATTCAGCTGATCTGTTCAAGACAAGCCACTTTGCTGCTACAAATAATCGGCTGATCTGAAACTAATGGAGATGCGAAGATACTGTGAGGTGCTGAAATTCACTAAAACATATCAAAGAGCTTGACGTACAAACACTACAATGATTTCGTTAATGAGAACATAAGGAAGGCATTACAGCATACTGAATACGAACACTCACAATGGAAATTTATGTTTTTTTAAACATATCACACGCATTTACTTAATCATATCAGATTTGAATAACCGCAAAATCAGGCAGTCAGTTAGTATACCTTTCTATCAATCTCATTAAAAAAAACCGACATAACAAATGATCTGGCAAGAATTTGTGTAAGTTACAATCAAAAAATAAACAAGAAAAAAAGACCATACCAATGGAAATTCAACAAAAAAAAGTAAAGATGACTCATTTACAAAGAAGAATCGAATATAAAACTGACGTATTTAATATTGAAGCGAAGACTTTATGATAAACAAGATGCGCGTAAAGACTCGACGTACAAACTATGAGCACTCAGCTATTGTTTTCTTTATCACATGGTTTGAAACTGAACTAAACTGATATCAGAATCATTGAAATTGTTGAAAAGAATACATTAGCAGAGAGATGAGATTTGAAAATTTAAAAAATAATTCTTTTTAAAAATGTATTAGAATGGAAGCGGCTAGTGGTAGTTCGTTTGTGGACGAAAAACCCGTAAAAAAAGGAAGCCACTATGGAGCAGTAAATGCGTTCTATATACACAATCCGAATGAGGCTGGCTACTGAATAGTTTCAAGTATACAATGACAGAATCTACTCTCTTCAACTTTGGCTACGTTGCTGCAGTAATTTGGAAGTGTATGATTGCGTGCGATTTTCACATTAATTCGTTAGTAAAAATAAATTACTGATTGGAGATTAAAGTAGAAGAACAATAACAATGATATTGGTACACCACACACGGTTTCGAGCAAAACCTTCCTCCAATCATCGGTTGGAGCTCTACCTTTGAGCTACCGTTCAGCGTTCGCCAAACGGTTGTGTTCAAACAGCATTACCTCGTTTTTCAGCGCACATACTGGAAAGTCTTGCTCGAGACCGACTAGTGCAGTAATGTCATTGATGTTGCCCAGCTTGAGCCACACTATCATTTAGCTTGTGTATCTAAAAGTAACAACACTGAATTGTGGTAATGCAAGTGATGCGTGAAGCAAACCGAAAACAGCCAACAAAATATCCATCAACTTGACGATATTTTATCGTAACAAACACAGTAAGTGGCCATAAAATAGTTTTTATCGATAATACAATGCGGCGCATCACCGTATTTGTTTACGTGGCTTATTGTCGCCATATCCACTGTCACCTTGTTCGCGTGTAAATCGTACTTGACCGTCACCTGTCATTGTTGTTCAATACATTCACATATCAATTTTCATTCCACCAAAACAAAACTGATAAGTGAACGTATTACTGTTGCTATTGTATCCCTAATATGTTGGCTAACTGCACATTGCTGCTGTCTTCAGTGATATTCATGTTATCATGTCATAAACTGTACAACCGATCGAAAGCTTTCAAATTTAACACAAAAAACAAACTAGCCTATTATAGCAATAACATGCAACATTTAATATTCACCTCATAAACAGCACCGCCTGGTTGCGTTACAAATTTGAACTGATAGTGAGCAAAAGCCGTCTTCGTATCACCGGCCAAATCTGGCACAAATCCGTCTGCATCTTTAGCGTTTTTGTATTTCAGCAAGGTCGAATGAGGCACTAACCGTCGTGAGCTTTCCACTCTTGCCTATAATACAACAGACAGTAGATATTTTGTCATTCTCTTCTCCAAGAAATCTATTTACAAACCAATCGTTTTTCATTTATCGACGTGACTGATTGGTATCAATTAATGAATATTCTCCTCAAAACAAACTATTTTCAAGAAAAACACAATTGAAATGAAACAACAACAGAAGAAAATGATGATTAAAGCCATAAAAAAGGATGTGTAAAATACATAAATGGACCGTGACAATGAATGAGATGGATCAATTTGAGGAAATAGAGAAAAGTGAAATAGAAAAGAAAAGTGAGAAAAAAAAGATGTTTATTGCAAAAATGGGAACTGATGAAAAGAGCATTCAAAAGGTGAAGAAATTAACCAATCTGAGCGGAGCGCATAGCTTGCGTTCAGGTTTTGTGAATGCATTTAACGCTTGCACGACGGCTTTCGCCAACAGATTTGTTATATTTACTTGCTCCGGTGTATCCATTGCCGACTCCCAATTCAAGCACGTACACCAATGTGGTTCAATACCAGCCTTTAAAATTGCAACTTAACGAATCATAAAAATTCAGCTGAAACACTAACTTGTAGGCAATACATTTTATCTTTCATACTGCTGTCTGTGCTGAACAAAAAAGTTAGTATTATAAATAAATCATAACCACTACGCTATGAACACCGAACGACATATCCAGGTTTCAGTTTTTTAATGGGTTTATTGAAGGAGCATTTTTCTTTCAAAATTTAAAAATGCATATCGAAAATCGAATTGAACAGAAAAATAAAACTGATACACCAGCAAGAAGTGAATAGAATTAAACTAATCATTGATTGCTAGAGATGACTCTGCGTTATCAGTGAACACTTGAAGTTATAACAATGCAAACATTAAGTTGAAAACGTATCAATGCATAAATGAATGAATAATCAAACCGAGCGATAGAACTATACAAAAGTGAACCTAACCTGATCACATGTTCTCGAAATAGGTACAGGTCTAAACAAAGATAGCGACCGTTGCGATGTACTGCCCATCGTTTGCAACGCTTTTTCGGTGGGCCAATGCAAAATGTCCAATAATGTTGCATGTATATCAAACGGCGTTGTTAATCTGAAACGAGCCACTTCCATGCAATCAACTCGCAGCACACTTACGGCAACGTGATCACCACGCATAAACCATTCACTAATCTGTACCTGTCCTTATTGTCGTTTAGATTTTTCCACGCCAAACGACCACGTTCACTTTCTCGGAATTTCTTCGGCAGCGATATAGCAAAAAATGGAAGACGTTCTTCTAACTGTCCTAAAATTGCCTCTCAAAAATAAATACGATAACACGACAACGATGATAAAAGAGCGTTCAGTGTACATATTGTTGATTAATTCTTTTGCCATTGATGAATTATTATTATAACATTTTAAACGAAGCTCGCTGCACCAAATTGTTTTTTTGCCTAACGCGTCAAACTGCATACTGTAGATGGCGCTATCCTTCAACCGAATTTTTTTCGATGAAGTTTCATATGGATTAGTTACCGCCGTTGAAAACATAAGGTTGTGAGAGTTGAGACCAAGAAAAATTTGAAAAATGATAATCGAGCACTTCAGCGTTTGAATAGAAAAATTTTTGATTCAGCGACCCTTCAAGCTAAATTTTTTGCGTCAACACGATGCAAATATAATGGTGGTTGCGAGACAAAACAATTTTTTGTGATTTCATCGAAATTACACATCGCATCTGAATCGTGTATGAATAATTCAACAGTGATAATAAATACATGCAACGATGAGACCGAGATAAACAATTAAAGGAGTGTAAAAGGAGCTGAAAACAGACGAAACGAACAGCGCACGAACTAAGCATATCAACTAAACGAAAACTAATGTGAACAAGAGTCCAAACAAAATACAATGAAATTGACCTTGATGTGTGCCACGAAATTGTGCAAATCGATGTCCATGATCGGCCATCGCTATCACCACTGCATTATCTAATGCACCCGATTCGTGCAGATTCTTCAAATGTTCGGCCGTATCCGCATCAGCAACTTGTACCAAATTAATGTTGTCATGACTCAACAAACTGTGAAATGCCAGCATAAATTTCGGTGTTGTTGCATTATATCGATGCATAAATTCGCTCGTATAACGGAACCAATCCTTCAAATGCACAGTCATCATCCTACTATTTCACAATTGTGATCAATAAATATCATACATTACGTATATTCAGCCAAAAAACAACAATTTTCATCTTTCTTAAACGAAACAATTCAGAAAACGAATAAGGCAAGAGATCAAAAATGTTATGAACCAACCAATCATTCCAACTGAATGTACTTTCGTACTCGGATTTTGCATTTTTCTTAGATATTCAATTTAAATGTTCAGTCAAAATGCATGAATTTCCGCTGTTTACTTTAACAGATCGATAAAATCGAAGCATTCGTTGTAACGCTAAACGAAAACGACCGACATTTAAAAGTGAGAAAACACAACCTTATGAAGTGGCACGGATCCGACGCAATTCATTGATTTCAACATCTTTTCGGCTTTTTGGAAGAATGTACGAGTATAGTGATCAGTTGGTTGCTTCTTGAAACCCTTTAAATATGAACAACAGTCAATAATCAATGAGCATCCAACAGATCCATGTGAAAAAAAAAAACCATTCACGACATTCATTCATATCATTTTTGATTATCACGTCTAGTTGTAAGAACATCCACATTAATATTAATATACATGCGGTAATTACCATAATAATGATAACGATAACTAATGACGGTTCTAGAAAGTTAAAATAAGCAATAAAGACCTTGAGGCGGTAGGTGAACGTGCCAACAGCAGCAGCATCCTCACCATATAAAGTGATGTAACCTGCATCGGAGAAATTTTGCCATACAAATGGATAAACTTCGTCCACGTAATGCGCACCCTTGAAACGTTTTCTAAAAAAAAGAGAAAGTTAAATCAATTCATTTTGTCAGGAAAAGAGTGAATACGTTAAATAATGAAGTGCATCTGTTGCAATGAAAATAAATGATCAACAGATTTTACTACTGAATAACAAATGATGATAAGAGACCTCGTCAACGGCAGCTCTTCTTCAGTTTGACCAGTCAGAATAGGTATAAACGCTTGAGGAGTACCATCGCCAACAATATTGTAGCCTGCATTCATGACAACACGGTTGTTTCTCTATCAACAATCTCATCAAATTCAAGATACAGATTAAAGAATTTCTCACCATCCAATACAACTGCCTCCAGCGTTTCCTCAACGTATTTAACTGTCAGTGGAAGTTTTCTTCTAAACGACATTTGCGATAGTGAATCAAAACCTAAAATTTTACATATGGAAAGTCTGAACTGACGAAAAGAAAATGAGCTTTTTGGAATAGGTCATTCGTTAAGCAAAAAACTAACCGAAAAAATAAACATCCAACCCAGACCAATCAGATGGTGGATTTTTAGTCGAAAGCTCTTTCGTTCTGCTTTCATTGGGAACTATTGTCCACAATAAGTTCTCCCTAAAAGCGTTCAGTGAAAGTAGTTGTTGCGTAGCGAAATATCGGACGAGAATCAATGAAGATCAACACAATGAAAATAATTTACATCTCGGCTCAATTCGTTCCAAAAGTGTCAATGCAAATCGAACAAACTCTTCATTTAGACGCTTTACCTTAGTATAGGTCAGTCGAAAATTTTGCGGAAAACCTTTTTCCAAAATTCCTAATGCAGCAACAAGTAAAATCACAACGACCATTTTCCAACGTAATAATCATCTAATCCCAGACACACACTCTTCTCAAGATAATGTTTTAATTCGTTCAATCCACCAAAGGGAAAATTCTGATCCTTCGAATGAAAACATGCTATGATGGCTTGTTTGGCTTCTTCAATGGATCCAAATCACACTGAGTTCGAGTATTTCTTCAGTTGTTAGAAAGAAAATGAGGCAAGACAGGGCAGGGTCAGGGTTGTAGGATGGATGGAACAATGCTTCACAATGAAATTCACGAATTGCGGTTCTCGCAACTTTTGCTCTATGTGCGGATGCGTTGTCATGATTGGAACAAGTCTCCTCGATGCAGCTTTAGTGGGCATATTGTTGTTTAGTTTATGCGAAACCTGTGCACAATATGAACCCTCTTATGGTATTTGCTCCCTCTGAATCCCCCTCCCCCCCCCCCCCCCAAAAAAAAAAAAAATTCGCCATAACTTTCTTTTGAGACTTTCCAGCCTTGACTTTGACTGAACCCGTTGATGCCCTTGCAAGCTACTGTTTAGAATGTAATTTGCTTTCTATATCATACATGTAGATCCAAGTTTCGTCACCAGTTACTGTTGACTGCATAAAAGCCATTTAATCATCCTCTATTTTCTTTCAACAAATGAGGGCCAGGTCAGCTGGCCGTTTGCGTTTATCGTCGTGCAACGCTTTCGATGTCTATCAAGCAGAAAGCTTGCTAACAATAAACTTTAGGTTTTCAATCACAATTGGTTGGGCAAAAGCAAACGAAATCAAAACTTCATGAGCCACGCTCGCTCTCGAAAGTTGCTTTATGCTCTTCTTCTAGCACAACGGTTCTCATAAGGGGAGAAGGTGCCTCCTGGAGAGTAATTTCGTGCAGTTGTTATGCTGTCATTGTTTTTTTTTTTCATTTTAACATCTAAACGCGGTACGCTCACAGCAGCAATCCCCTTTCTCCTATTTCTTGGGTATCTTTGTCTCGTTTGGTCACAAGCAAAAGTCAAATTGAAATATTTCCTAAATTCTTTAATATATTGACTGATATTGTCTCTCATGAGCAATAAGAATTAACTGCGTTCTTTAGTGCAACAGAAAAGATCATTGGTTGGTTTCGTGCGAGACGAACGAGTATTTCTGAATTAATCCATTATTATTACTCGGCTGCATTGGGAACTTTTTTAACTGCTTCATTTAATGGGATGGATTTTTGGTTCGTAAATGAATTGTTCTGAACCAAGCAACTGCTCAATTGTGTCACAGGTATCTGGTTTGTGACGAATGTATATTGCGCTATGGTGGATGTGCTGCGGAATTTTGTACTGAAAATTACTGCTTTCATATTTATTAATGAGATACTCAGTCATGTTGTTATTTTCAACCATTTTCCAAGGTTGCATTAGAGGAATTAATAAGTTCGCCTAGAGGGTGAGTGGTTTGCCAGACCATCGAAGGGGATAATGGACCTGCCAAGCGTAAGAATCCTTGAGATAGACAGTACTTGACGCCAACGCTTTTAGAAGAAAATCATTTTTTGAACCAATCACACAGAGAATTCTACATGCAGATAAAATGCTAACCTCAGACTGCACACCTAGAATGAAAACGTAAGCATTCATCTGCTCGTAAAAATATGCTCATTTTTAGTTGTTAAACTTTTCCTCAAAATGATTTGTTATCAAATTATCTGGCAAATAGAATCAATTTTTCAAATAACGATATGCGTCACAGTGAACACATTACACCAGTTCGCGCTTCATGTTTCAGCACCATGAATGATACGATTTCTGCGGGTTTTTATCGTCTTTAGAACCATCAACGAGACTGATACACTGCTCAGTTCCGAGCAAAACCTGCCTCGATGAACGAGAGTGGAACCCGCGAAATACCTACATAAGTTGTGCATTAATGAGATGTTTGAGCTACTCACCATTTAGCACCATCTTCGGCTGAACAGTTCACCACAGAGTAATCACTGCTGGTGATCAGATCACCGGCCTGAATGGCAACCAACTCATCTGTCTCTAAATTATCATCATCTATACGACGAAAGTACGATATTGCACATTTTATATCGCCATGCAGCCTGCAATATTCTTCCATTTTGTTGCTTCAGTGCTAATTGCTCGTTTTGATATTAATCATCGGGAATATGCTGGCTTACTCAACAGCTTTAGGTGATATCTGAAAACGACGATCATCGTCCACATACGCCCAGTTAGCTTCATTATTTTTGTCACAATTCAGCGGTTCAGGATCACTGAAAAATCCGATCACTTCACTTCCGTTTATGTCCAACTTCGGTATTCGACATGCCTGAAGATTTGAGTTGATTCAGTTTTAGTGCTGGTGTATCAGCAGACATTAAATCAATCCATCTTAAAATCAGAAACAATCAAATTCTATCATGAGCACAGCGAGCAATTACAAATTTGAAGCAATTTGGAACGTGAGATTTCCATATCGATGCGACAAAGGGTTGGTGTAAGACCCCAGCACTGTCGAGTGAGTATGTGGAAAAATGTCGATAAAAAAGCGCTTAACTGCAGACGCGTCAACCGAATAACTTGAAAAGTATCAACGAAAATAATTCAACTAAAAATTGTCGGAAAATAGTTCAATTCCAGTCTCCTAAAACTTGAGCCATTTTCTTTCAATTTTTTTTCCGAGCCCGCAACAAGTAATAATTTGAAATGAACGGCATTCGTTCGCAGTAATCAGCTCCTTCATGAGAACCACTCTTCATAATCTATTAATTAACTCATTCTGTAATGCTTCTTTCTGTTCGAATCCGAAATTTCTTTCAAATCGAATATACGAGCTTTTTATAATTTCTCTGTTCAGCCATTAAAAAATAAAGCACAAGACATAATAATCCTTGAAATAAATAATTGTTTGCGGTTTCTTTCAATGTGAATTGCTTTAACGGAGTGAATGAACGATATCATTAATTCTCTGCAAGTCAAAACATCATGAATGGAGAATTTAATCATTTCATGAATGCACTGACTTTAATCTTATTCCATTAACGAACACAGAATTCCATGATTCACACAAATAATAACAATAAACAATAACCTGCACACCATCCACATCGTTTTGAAGTGTATTCACTGATTTTTTTTCATCTGATGATACGGCAGCATTTCGATCCTTTTCACCCGTATCACCGTGTAATACAATAATTTCTGGTATTCCTTCCATACCCTGAACCTTTCGTTTATCATTAAAAGATTTTAAAAGTTGCTCAATGCCTCTATGATTGCATATTCAACGCCTCTAAATGCATATTTTTAGTGCTTACTTGATCAACGAAATTACTGATCAATTACATAAAAAATGCCAAAAAAGCATTCGAAATAAAAGCTGAAACGAACCGTGTCGTTGCTTTCTTCCTCGTTGAGGAGTGTTTCTTCTACATTCGTTTGTTGCTGTTGTCTCAGTGCTGGTAAAATAAAACCAAAAAGCATCATCAGTGAACCAATACATACTATCATAAGTAACAATAATCGCCTTCTTTGCCTTGACATGCGAGTATTATTGTGTCGCATTTTGAATGAACAATTTACTTTGTGCATCAACGGTCAACCACCAAGTTTATACAGAGAAAGCACTTTCAGTGATCCTGGAATGTATCCACATTTCATCGAATCAAAACGGCTTCAATAATAAAACTGCAATAATCACTTCGAAGTAACCTGTTCAAAAAACGACCAATCATATACAAAGCGTTTGAAATTCTATGTGCAGCAAATTATGAAACTTGAACATGCATAAAATGATAATTTAATGAAAATGTCAGTACGCAAAGGTTTCATCGACTATTATGGTGATCTAAATACAGCTATGTAGCAATTGAATTTTAACAAATGCAAAGTTTAATGCATGCAGTTTTCGACGACATTCCATGACGCGGCGAACCTAGTACTGACGAGAGAATTCATTATGCATGTATTAAAGCCGTACTAGACAAACGTAATATGGTATTATGATACCGCGATGAATAATTGTGAATAAATTGTGATAAATAGGCAATTTATATGAAACGAGTGTGCTTAAATAATAAATTTGGTGTGATTATTCATGCTAAATTGTTTATTATAAATAAACGTGAAACTGTTACAAAATTGTGTGGAAAGGGATTAAATGGTCACGAAATGTTTTCTTGGAAAATCATTGACAGACGAACTTCAGCCGCACAGACTAATAACATCGTTACGCGTGCAAGCGAAATTTTATGTCGGTCGGATTCCAACCGATATGAAAGTACGACAGTCGGAACTCCGATCAATCTTCCAAACTGTTTGGTTGGAATCCGAATGTCGAAATTCCGACCGAAATGCCATCACTAGTGCGGAGGTCATAGCACCAACAAAAAGAAATGTTGATTAGGCACAAAGCATCGAATCGACAAAGTATTATACTTTCGCATGTCGTTTTCTGTCTATCCCTGCCCTCCCCAGAACGATCAATGTTCATTCATCGACATATTTCACAGGCAAATCGAAACTTTCCACTACAAATGAAGATCGGAATGACTGTTGAGCTGAATCTTTTTAACTCTCAAGGAAAAGACGCATGAACATCGAGGTTGCTTGTTTTCTTGAAGGAATAAACGAAATGATATTTTCTGGCAGCTGTACGAATGATTGTGAAGCTGAGTGTTTGCATCATATAAACTACGATTGGTTCGGGGCGGGCTCGTCGCCAATTGGGGGACGTGCTGTTTCAATTTTTGGTGACTAACATACTGACAAGGGAAGGTCACGAACTTACCCCCACGTTTCGGGATGAGATATATATTATTTTGTAGATCTCGTCGAGCTGATCGCGAATATGTAAAGCATTTTTGCGAAACACAAAGAGGAAGCGAGATATGAGGGTGAAAAGATTTTCACTGGTTTGGAATATCGTTTTGAATTGTGGTCAGCAGCGGCCTGGCCTAGTGGGTAGTGAGCTAGCACTAAGTCTAAACGCCCGGTGGTTCTGTTCCGCGCGCTGGCGAAACTTTTTTTCTCATACATTTCTAGCATGTTCAAACAACCATGATACTTTGCTTCACTCCCCACAAATTCTATCTTTCTTTGTGGGGACATTTTTACGTTTTTTTTGAACATTTGTATCTGTTTTGGTTGCTTGTACCTTATCATAATGAGCATGCCTATTCACAACAGCATGATCGAAGCGTAGATAGAATTTGCATAAGAATGTTTCACAAATGACAATTCATCAAAATTGTTGATATCACAGTCGCAGTCGTTTACCATTCGAGAGTTCAATAAGTATTCGTGTTATGCATGTGGGTACATTCAAGAACATCCAGAAGAATTTCAAACGCCCGTTGAAGTGTGCTTCTCGCAGCACGTCGTCCAAGAATGTGATATTAACAATTGTGATCGTTTATCATTTGTAAAATGTTCTTATTGTAAATTCTATCTATGTTTCAATCATTTTGTTGTAGACAGACATGCACATTACGACGATGTGTAAAAAAACCAAAAAATAACAAAATTAAAAAAAACAAAAAATAAATAAAAGAAGAATATACCCACAACTTGAAAAAGCTGTGGGGAGTGAAGCAAAGTATCATGGTTGTTTGAACATGCTAGAAATGTATGAGAAAAAAAGTTTCGCCAGCGCGCGGAACAGAACCACCGGGCGTTTAGACTTAGTGCTAGCTCGCTACCCACTAGGCCCGGCCGCTGCTGACCAAAATTCAAAACGATATTCCAAACCAGTGAAAATCTTTTCACCCTCATATCTCGCTTCCCCTTTGTGTTTCGCAAAAATGCTTTACATATTCGTGATCAGCTCGACGAGATCTACAAAATGATATATATCTCATCCCGAAACGTGGGGGTAAGTTCGTGACCTTCCCTTGTGAGGAAGAAGAAATCTCACAGTCCCACCCACTTGTAAAGTCTGTCTTGCGTTTGAATTTCCATAGTGGATGGTGATGTGAAGCACTAGGTCAACTACTTCAAAATCTTGGGTCTCGAAAAAAACTCGAGGGGCTCAGCCTCCCATCCTCTGGCCACAGAGCCAGTCTGGAGGTAAGATCGGACCCGGAGGACGCCCGAGTGGAGAGAATACCATTGAAGACTTCGAAAATTTCGTAGACGCATTGATCAAACCCCAATGCAAACCTGACCACATTGAGTATAAGAGTTGTTTTCATGAATTCACCATATCTACTCAACATCTGAGTAACGTGAATCTCAACGGACTGCCGGTTCAATCAATTGACTGATAGCGTCAGCATCAATTGATTTGCTAAATCAGCTTGCGAGGATGAAGCTATTAATAAGAACGTTGATAATGATGTGATTTTGCAACAACCGCTGTAGAATTTAACTTTCCCATCGCATACTCACATATTATGCTAACAGTAAGCTTAATCGTAATTCATACTCACTATCTGCTCTAATGTTTAAAGTCAGTGATTCGAACTTTAGCACACTGCTATACTGGGATGTTCGGCGAAAGCTCAGTATGTAATCTTTTCGGCTGAAATTTTGCATAGATTACTTTCGCAACAAACAGGAATCATTTTCTCAACAATCGAATGGAAAATAGCAGAATCGAATAACAAGAACGAACGTCCAGCACTAACTAACGCTCACTGCTGTACTGAGCCATTCGTACGGCTCGGGATGTAACGAAGCAGTTTTACAAGATATAATAGATTATTTTTACCCGGTGCAACAAATGTTGGAGGATAAAGATCGAAAAACCGATCAATAAGGAAAAACGCTCAATTTACTGTTAGCGCTTTACGCCAGCTCCAGGCGCAATATTTCTGGATGAAATTGCGCAAAAAAGTTTCTTGAAGTAATATGAACAGAATCGGCGATATTTCAAAAATGAATGCAAAAAAACGAGAATGCAAAAGTGACGCAAACAAACGCGCATTTGCTTATCACAATCGCTTACAAGCACCCTTGCAAATACTCATATGAAATTTGGTGACTCAACTGAATGAACATCACCAAAAAGCGCTCGATAAGCGACTGCCTAGCATGGAACGACGTAATGAAATACAGATTGCAGCTGTATTAATGCTACAATACAGTTGCCTGAAATAAACTCACAAGACTAATCCATACATGGGACTATTCGGTATGGATGATCTGCTGATTGCTGTGGAAAGTCCTATGTTGAAAATGTTCAGGTCGCTCGATTGAAAAATGCCGATACGAGTTTCTTTCATAACAACCAGCGAATTAGTCACACCAAATAGGTCTAACTGTTACATTTAATCACAGTTTCCAGATCAGTCAGATCATAGCTTAACCTCGGAACCATTTCAGCGATTCATCTCCGATATACATACAACTGCACTAACATAAGCAATATGTTGACACTTTTCCAGTCAGACCATTGTTCATCGATGCTCTTACAGTTGAGCCATTGCTTTGCTGACATTTTTGCACATCCCCTCTCGACATCCGAACCATTCCGATATCCCTGTGTAATAATAACTGAACAATAAACAGTGCCATAACTAACGATAAGTTTTTCTGCTATTTACAATTTGTTGCAGCTGTACTTATCGCTTCAATAAAAGTTTATCTCTCATTTATCTATCAGTATATAATACTATTACCGAACAAACGATGCTATCAAAATTAATCACACATGAAAGACGGATAATCGCTTTACTAATCGACATGTACTTCAATCGATCAATACATCAAAATAATGTGGTGATGTTGAAAACCCTAATACTTCATCGAATAGATAATACTTACAATTAGTTTCATGTTCAGAGGTTTATGAAGGTATAAACATATAAAAGAAACAATGTGGTACCTATTAAACATGCGTGTTATTATCGCATTCTGCGTGTCGTCTACCGCCCTCTTCATCAGAAGACTTGTAGATTTCTACACGTCTTATGATAAAGAGAGTGGTAGACGACGTGTAGATTTCTCGTGCAAATTTAAGACGTGTAGATTTCTCGTGCACATTTAGGACATGTAGATTTCTCATGTAAATTTAAGACGTG